AAGGGCGCTTTCCTCCAATTTACAATTATATCCACACCCCTTATTATCTCCAAGCCTCTGTTAGCTGAGAAAACGGCTTTGAATTTCGCCAACACCAATTTGGCAAGAGGTCATTGCGCTTCTATAAGCCGCATGGGCATGTGTATATTTTCTAATCTTAAAAAAAATTGTAAATGCTATTATCACTTTTTTAAAGGTAGAAAAGGCAAAAAAAAGCAAATATCTTAAAAAAGGCAAAAAAGGGCAACATCAAATGTGTATACATAGTATATGGAATCAGGGAAAGCTAAATCGTGGACATTCTTAATCGAATATACTCTATCTCTTTAGCAGAAAAAAAGGCAATTTCCATAAAATCCGTTCCCTGGTTATAACTTTAGAACTACTTGTTGTCTAAACCTGAAACTTTCCCAAAAATATCCGTATATATTTGTTTTCAATGCTGCATTAAAACAAAACAAAAATTTTAAACTTCATAACACAACTTTTGCATTTGTAAAAATCACCTCCTTAATTTTTATAAAAATGTTAAAATATCCGCCATTTCGTTTTAAATAAGTATTAAGAAGTGCAGTTAGACTCATCTTATTCAGAATAGAATCTAGTTTATTGTGTACAAATTTCAAATCAATCGAATCATAAACGTCTGAGATAAAGTTTAAATGCAAATTTTGCAAAAATTGGCCGCTGTGAAAAATCAAGTTTTGTGGCTTTTCGGCATGAAGGCGTGAAAGTAAAAAATCGCCCTGAGAGAGGCAAATTTTATTTCGCGGATTGCGCGACTTTCTATGTATAGATCTTGACTTGTATGTGACCAACCGAAATTGAACGGCGTGCGTAAAAAGCCAACTCAAATTCCAAGATTGGAATTTGTGACATTTCGATTTGACGTTTCTGCTCATTTGATATTTTGGCGCGACTATGAATTCAAATTTCGCTCAACAAACTTCTATAAATTTGGCAGAAGTGCAACTCTGAGAAATCACGCACGCGAATTGATTTCGGTTAATCAAATACGAAAAACTTGCGTGCGTGCGTAGAAAAACTTACGCCGGTAATATTAGGTTGAGCTGTTAAGCAGAGTTCTTTTGGCTGCCTGCTCTATGGTTATATGACGAGGCTCAAGTTCAAGGACTACTTCCAGCGCCGTCGTCGCAGTTTACCCTAAAAAAATTGTTATTTCGCCCAAAAAATAGTCGATTTTTTTTATTTTTTGTTTTAACAATATAAAAAATACAAAGGAATTACACACAGCAACATCAGTCCTGACCGTACAGCAGGTGCTAGACAGAGCCCAACAAAATGTCAGGCCCATTGAGCTCCCTCGGAACATAATAGGGCCACCACTGCATGGCAGTTCCAAAACGGCTACTGAAAGTCGCAAAAGCAAAGCGGGTTCAAGGTCAGCCGAGGAAAAGGCCTTGCTGGGTAGCAATAGGGGGTAGAGATGTCTGCTCGCGGCTGCAAAGACCGCTAGTAATGTCATCGCTTCCTAAGCCCAACCCAAGCTCGAGGCATCTTAGATGCCTCCAAATGAATCTTCATTATGCCAAAGTAGCGTCAAATGTTCTATGCAGGAGGTTCCCTAACGAAGGTCTAAGTATAGCCTTCATCCAGGAACCCTGGATATTATGTGGTGAGGTCAAAGGTCTAAACATCAGTGATGGTAAGATCATATATGCACCCAGCCCTCGCCCAAGGTCGGCGATGCTATTAAGCAAAAAACTAACGTTTCTTCCTCTATTACAGTTCATGATGGCAGTTCTGGTTGCGGTTTGCTCCAAACTCCCACTCCAAGGGGTGTACAAGAGGCAGTACTTGCATCAGCGTACTTTCCGGGTGAGGAGGAGATGGCCCCGACAGCAGAAGTAAATGCCTGCAGTGAGCACTGACAGCAGAGTGGTAAGGGTTTACCTCTGGTGTGACGCCAATTCGCATAACACTGTTTGGGGAAGCACAGATACCAACAAAAGGGGTGAGTACCTCCTCGTGTTTATTAGTAGTTATAATATAAATATTATAAATCGTGGCAGTCAACCGACTTTTAGAAGCGCTTTAAGGGGGTGGCCTTGGATCTAACTCCAAACAGTCAAAACATGTCATTATCTGTCACAAACTGGCGTGTCTCGGGGCAGGTATCCATGTCGGACCATATGCATATATAATTCGACATGGGTCTCTTTCCTGAACACGAACGAACTAACTTTAACTCCAACATCCACCTCTGGAAGAGAACAAAGCCTTGCTACGAAGCTAACCACTGTAGAACAGGTGCAATGGGATTTATCAACATTTAACCCATACAAATCACCAGTACCGGATGGAATCTATCCATGTCTTCTTCAGCGCGGAATTAAACACATAACCCCGGGCCTCTCTAAATTCTATAGAGCTTCGCTCTTGTTGAGAATGAACCCCTCCCAGCAGATGGTCTGAGGTCGTGTTTCTACCCGAAACATGTAAGCCGTAGCAATTACCGTCGTTCTACCGCCCAATTAGACTCAGTTCCTTTCTCCTAAAAAGCATGGAGAAAATACTGGATCAGTACATCAGAGAAGTCAACCTAAGGAACGGCCTCTGAATAAGAACCAGTTTGCCTATCAACCAGGCAAATCCACTGAAACTGCCATTCATAGCCTCACTTTGATATTTCAGGGGCTTTTAATAACACATCACATAAGGCAATAAAAGATGCCTTGTTAAGAAAGGGTGTAGGCCCAATCATAAATCAGTGGGTGTTATCAATGTTAGGAACACGAATTAGGAGGCACGATAGAATCGATAACAGCCACAAGGGGATGCCCTCAGGGGGGTATACTCTCTCCCCTTTTGTGGACTATGGTTATAGACGAACTTATTTTCACAATGAACAGCCAAGGCTTTAATACGCAAGGCTACGCAGGGATTCATGATGAAACTATCATCAACCGCGTGCAACAAGCCCTACACATCACACAAAAATGGTGTGAAGACACTAAACTAGGTAAATTACACAGAATGGTTTATCTTGGCATAACAGGACTTATAGACCTGCCCGGCTGATGCACTCAGCGCCCTGGTTCGAATACCTCCCTTTCCTATTTTAATTGAAAAGGCGTCTACCACAGCGGCACTAAGAATCCTAAACACTTCCGGCCTGAAAATCGGAAATATGACGGGTCACATGAAGGTCCTAATGAAATTCGCTAATGACCCCATACTGCAAATGCGCGATGCAATAGTTAGAAAACTAGAAATCTCTAGGAAATTTGAGGTAAACATTGCAGATCGAGCTCTCTGGAGTACAGGGAACCCATACACCAAACCTAATGGGGAGGTTTGGAACACAGATAGATCTAAGCTTGAAAATGGTAAAACTGGGGCTGACATTTTTGGGCCGTACTTTAAAAAATCGATAACAATGGGTAGCGACGCCACCATCTCTGAATTATGTCGGACAGTCAGGCAGCCCTACTGGCCCTGAAGTCGCATAAAATAAGTTCTCAGCTAGTATATGATTACCTCAACGTCCTAAATGCTCTTGATGCCAAGAACACAGTTCAATTAGGATACGTACGGGGCATGAGGGACATGATGGCAATGAGGAGGCTGACTGCCTAGCGAAACAGGGAGCTGCCGCAGTATGTTATGGTCCGCAACCCTTTTGTGGGCTCGCCAAAGCACATATAAAGGAGACCATAAATAACTGGGTAGACAAAATGTTCAACAGGCGTTGGATGGAATGTCCAGGGAAAAGACAAGCCAAACGATTTATCTGTCATTGAAAAGTAGTTCCAAAGAAACTAATCAATTTAGGCAGAGAGGACCCCAAAACTGTCACTGGGTACTACACGGGACACTACTCCTTTCGCTACCACCTCAGTAAAATCAATGACTCAGAAACAAACGTCTGTCGGAACTTGCACCAGCTACGAAGTTTTCTGGGGATATGCACTTACAATCACCGATTTGGTCAGAATTTCACCAGCGTTGCCAATAGCATCCATGAGCTCACTAGGAGAAATGGAGCCTTCAAGTGGAACAACGAACAGGAGGGGGCTTTCGAAGTACTGAAGGAATGGCTATGTACTGCACCTATGCTAGGGTATCCGGTTCCAGGTGGAACATTTATTTTGGATGTTTGTGGCTATGCGATAGAAGGCGTATTGTTATGACCATGATAAAAACATTACAAGGTAAAATCATTTAGAGGCAGTCTGAAGTTTGCCAGCAATATAATTTTAAAATTCGAGCTCAAGCTCACACACATTCTCATTTTTAATCTCAAACAACAACAATTGTGAACAATTTCATTTCCTTATTTTCAATTTGATATGATTTTAAAACGCTTGCAAACGTCAGAAAAAAATCATGGCCGACGAATTGAGAGAATGATTTCACCTTCTAATGTTTTTATCATGGTTATGACTTTGCTATTGAATACTGAAAGGGTAGTGTTGATGCCATGTTCCGTCGACCATGTAGTTTGGAATGTAAACACTGGTCAAAAGCTAAGGTCAAAGAAGACATAATAGACGTCTGGATAATGATAATAAAAATAGAAGAAGAGTGGGAGTAAGGTCATCTAAGGAAATGTCAGCAGGAGGATCCGGACTTGGAACTTTTGATATATGACCTGGAGATGGTCCGACGGCCAACTAGGGAGCAAAGGGCAGCGTAAAGACCAATCATTAAGGCATGCTGAGCACAATAGAACAGCTTAAGCTGATACCAGATAAAAGTTTGTGGCTTTGCGTGACATTTATAACTATGCCAGCAAAACGCCATACGCAAAAGGTATGCCACAATGAACGGCAAGAAAATAATTTTGTACTGCTTTTTTACTCGTGAAAATTGCTGTCGATTTTACATATTTAGCCGTAAAAATATCAGCAATCTAATTAAATTTTATGTTTCTGACAGAGAATTCGTTATAAACTTTCCTGGAAATGAGTAAATAAACACAACTATAGTGGATCATAAATATTCGGTTTTAAAAATGCAGCCCTGCGCTACCAAATACGTCACCCGAACATCACAGCTCGCTTCGTAAGTTCGTGGTCAAGAAATTGTGTTGATGTGCAAGAACGCATGGAAAATTTGTAATAAAATGTGAAAAATCCTGAAAATATATTTTTATTTTGCTAAAGCGTGTGAAGAATCAGTTTTTACTAAATCGTATTAAATGCCGTTACCTCTGGGCAACAAATTGTGGCGATATTCCGAGCCACTATATCAGCAGCGGCACAAAAAACGAAAACAATTCACTGCAGCAGCAGAGGTTGTAGCAGAAGTTATAGCAACGTAGGGTTGCGTAGGGGCATAGCAAGCGCAAGTGCATTGAAAAATTCTCGAAAAAGAGGTGAACTGCAATTACTCTTGACGAGAAATCCCCAGAGAGGTTTTTCAATTACATGTGTTTAGGTAATATTTTACGCCAGCGAATTCGAATAACTATAGTATTTATGTGGCACATTTCGGCAAAGTGGAAGTGGCAAACAGTGTATTATCTATTGTCGTGTTAACACTCACGTCCGTGCTCCCACTATTGGCGCTTTGAAAACTACGCAGTGAAAATCGCTGTCGAAGAGGTAGGGGGCCAAGGTGTTTAGAAACGATCTGGCGGTAAATTCATCGATTTTTGTTATTGCCTCTGTGTAAGTTTGCGGACAGTTTAGAAAACTTGAGGAACACCTAAGGAAAGGAAGACAAAACTAAACTAAGAAGTATATGTATTTAATAAAAAAATGGAAAATACAAAGGCAACGGCACATAAATTAGACTTGCAAACAGGGTGTAATGATAGTGGCGAAAAAACAGCCGTAACACTAGAACAAAACAAAGAAACAGTAGCACAGGTGAAGTCGCATGAACCTGTCAACGGTCAGCTTAATGCAACATCAAATGTTGAAATGAATGCACTTGACGGAAGTGGAGGACAAGGTGCAGGGAAAGAACACAAAATTCCACATTCCATTGCGTTAAGCCTAGAAACCCCACAAGAGGATGTTTCACAAAAAGTCACAGATATTGACATAAAATGCCGAAATGATAAAGGTAAGTTGTAATAGCTGAAGTATGTATGTACATACATATATATGTATGTATATTAATGTATTTGAAATTGTTGACTTCTGTAGATAAAAATCATGAAAAGAAAAAGAAGGAAAAGGATCGGGTAAGAGATAATGGGAAAGATAGAGAACGAAACCGGGATCATCGTGATGGCGATAGAGATCGCGGGAGTAACAAAAATAAAATTCGTGAAAAAGAACGAGATCGAGAACGCCATCGGGATAAGGAATCAACAAAACAACGTTCTAACAAAGAACTTAGTTCTCATTCGCGACCTTCGACGTCTTCCACCAGCAGCGATAAAACCAGAGAAGCCACTCATAAACAAGAAAAGTCAAAGCCTAGCACCAAGTCCAGCTCGTCTTCTAAACGTGACAAAGACAAGGAGAAGGTACACTTGTTTTTTGTTTAAACTTAAAAATTCAGTATTTATTAAATGTTCTTTTTTATGTATTGATTCTAAATTACAGGTAGTTTCTGCATCATCTTCTGCAAGTTCCTTAACAGGACATAGACGTCGTAGTTCTGATAGCAGCAGGGGTAGTCACAGTAGTTCAACAAAATCACATAGTCGTACACGCTCTATAATAATGAAAGATATCGTAGTTGGGCCACAGAAAGTCGATATAGATAAATCAATATTACAAACAGTAAACACAATCAAAGTGGAAATGAAGGAACCAGAAAATAAAATACTTGAAAAACTATCAGATGTTTTGAAAATTAAAAGCGAAAATGAGAACCAGTTTAATACATCTGAAGTGCACCAATACAAAATAAATGAAGCTAATAAAAACGAAGGTACGTTAGAGAAAGATTTCTCATTACGAATTTCTGCCACCGCTGTAGAAGGTGACGAAAAATTAAATAACGGTATAAGCATGGTTGATTTTACTAAACTTATTTCTGATGACACTGCAGCAGCACTAAAACAGGATGTAGTTGATATAGAAAAGCTCAAAACAGAATGCAATGGTAACATTGTGATTGAGAATATGGCAGGAGGAAAAATTAGCTGCACACCAGCAGCGTCAAGAACTCGCGATGACGTTACGCGCCAATTGATTTTCAGCAACGAACCCAATGCGAATTCCACACAGAAAGAGGTAAAGAGCGAAACACTTAATGAGAATCGCGTGATCTCACATACTACGTTAAAAACCACATCGGGGAATAAATCGTCTAGTAGCAACATGCATTCGACGTCTGCCCCTGTATACAGTTCGAGTGCTCGCAAATCTTCATCATCCAGTAATAATTACCATAGAAAAAACTCAACTTCTTCATCATCTTCAAACACGAAGCATTCAACATCGTCAACGTCGACATCAACACCGACATCTACTTCATCATCTCGCAGTCGTGATTGTTCTAAATGCTACAAAAGATCTAAGATACGTCGTGCAAGTGTTGGAACACAATTTCACCAAAATAAACCATTCGTTTTTAGTACTCCACGACGGCGTCTGCAACGTCCACCAGAAGGTTTGGAACACCTCAAATATGGAAGATTATTTGAAATAGAAGTACATCCAAATGGGGGCGCTTCTGTTGTACATCTCTATCAAGACGAATTAGAGCAACTATCTCCGGAAGAGATGGAAGAATTGGTGGAGGAGTTTTTCAATGTTTGCTTAGCGGAAGATGATCAGGGATATGCATTGCATGTCATGGGTATTGTTCATGATGCTGCACGTTATCTGCCCGATTTATTGGAACATATGGCTGAGAATTATTCAACGTTAACGGTAAAAGCAGGCGTTCTAGGACGAAACTCCGACATTGAGACATGCACAATGGCACAGTACAACGAACAGGTTGGTTACCAAGCCTCAACAACTATAAAAATATTATTTATAACCTTTGAACTAATTAAATGCAATAATTTTAAGGTTGTGCGAAATTACTCCCAAGGCACATTTCGTTATGGACCATTGCATCAAATAAGTTTGGTTGGTAAGGTGCATGAAGAGGTGGGTGGATATTTTCCAGACCTGTTGGGTCGCATTGAGTCCAATCCTTTTTTGAAGAAGGTATTGTTTCTTTTAATAAAGCCGTTTTAGAAGTGATTATACATTTTTATATCTAGACTATGCCTTGGGGTTCATATTCGATTTTACAAACCGATCCTCGCCTCTCCAATGATGGGCCAATATTATGGGTACGCGCAGGCGAGCAGCTAGTGCCTACAGCGGAGCTTAATAGTAAAACACCAATGAAACGACAACGGTAGGGCCCATTACTTTGCCTCGTTTAGAAATATTACATTTTTTTTCAATCACAATTTAAGTACACGTATAAATGAGCTGCGCAACCTGCAGTACCTACCAAGGTTGTCTGAGGCACGAGAGACCATGATTGAAGATCGCACAAAGGCACACGCTGATCATGTTGGACACGGTCACGAGCGAAATACCACGGCTGCTGTGGGTATGTAAACTAATATGTAATTGCTCCCTCACTGCGTACTCATAAATTGCAGTGATAAAGAAATAATGTTATTTAAAAAATTTCTGTAGAGCATTTTGTATTTTGTATTTAATATTTAATATTTATATTTTAAATCTAAAATCTAATTATAAGAATGTTAAATCTTTGTTGCAATATAAGTCTAACAGACTGTAAAAAATAAATAAATAAATAAATAAATATTTTATTTTCTAGGTATTCTTAAAGCTGTTCACTGTGGCCAACCATATACTCACAATCGTATTACTAAAGATGTAGTGGCCTTTGCTGCTCAGGACTTTAATTACCTTGTAGGCATCTTGCAACTTGATTTACATGAGCCACCGATATCACAGTGCGTGCAATGGATTGAGGATGCGAAATTGAATCAGTTACGACGGGAGGGTATTCGTTATTCTCGCATTCAGCTTTGCGATAATGACATTTATTTTTTGCCGAGAAACATTATACATCAATTTCGGACAGTTACAGCTGTTACCAGTATTGGTAAGTGATAACGGCCGACCATATTTTCGACATGGAATAAAACTTTGAATGTTAATTTCTCATATTAAATTTAACCCTACTTGTAGCTTGGCACTTACGCTTGCGTCAGTATTATCCAGGGCAAGAGGTTATCAATGAGAAAAATAATCCGGTGCTGGCTGAGCCACCGCACTATAAAGAGAAACAGACCCTGTTGCCACATCCTGTTTCACATGATGAGCATCATGGCAAGCGCACTCCATGTAAACGGTCCTATGATGGGAAAGCCAAAAAGTCAGAGTTGAAGACGAAACTCATCGACACTGATGGAAAAGAACGGCGTTCAAGTGAAAGTGGCACTGAGGATTCCAATTCAAAAGACGGTTCTGAAATGGGGCCATCATCAGCTCGTAAACGAAAAGCAATCATGGACGATAGTAGAATTGATATGCGCAAAACGGTGCTGGAGCACAAATTGCAGAAGTCAATGGTGGCTGGCGATGAACAAGGTGTTCTCGCTACTCTAGCAGCTGAAAGCGGTAGCACGGGGAACAGCTTCAGCGCAATTATTTCTGCTTCTACATCACCATTGGCAAGTTTTGGCCCAAGTACCAATGAGAAGCCTTTGAACAAGAACAAAGAATCCAAGGATAAACCATCACAGGAACAGGCTATAACACCTGAACGACGAAGCAACAGCAGCACAAACAGTAGCTGTAGTACTTTACCGCATAAGTTGAACACGAATGGCGATATACCAAATGATAACAAGCCCAAGAACTTCTCTTTACACTCGGATACAAAATCTCAAACACAAGTTTGTGCTCCGATTGCACAAAATGTTATAAAATCAAACTCAGAACTACTTAATACGACGACGCTATACTCACCAACAATTGCAGCGGCAGCATCAGTTGCGTCCACAACCACATCCCAAAAGATACCCAAACTGCCGGAGCCGACAGTGCCTGCAACACCCTTGCCACTTGTGCCTCAAACGCCCTTTACACATCGTGAGGCCTACGTAAACAGCCTGAATCAAAAAGAACCCGAGATCAAAATTCAAGTACAAATTATATCCGATGAGCCTTCTACTCCCTCCGCTACCATCTCTGACGCTACATGCCCGACCAACACCAAGTCGATGTTACCAAACGTACAGTTACCGCACATATCCCACACAGCCTCACTGCCATCAACTATGGCTCCCCTAGCAACGGATTCGGTATTGACTTCTGAATCAGAGGCCCAAAATTGCACACTCAGCTCCCAAACAGATACTTTGAATATTATTTCCGTTGGAACTGACCCCGCGACGCTCTGTCAGTCACAATTGGTGGTTGACCACGAAGAAGAGGTGACGGTTTCCGAGGAGCTAATTGAAGTGGCTGCACCTGTGGTTATGGCATTTCCTCCGTTGCCGCCTGAGATAGCACTACCATTGCCGCCACCGCTACCAATGTCAACAGTACCACTAGAAAATCAAAGGGCGATGCTCGCGGCGCCAGTCGTATGTGAAGGCAACTATCAGCAAGCGAGAACAGTTGTAATTGTTTCGCAATCTGCGCTACAACCAATTTCAACCCAACAACCGACGGCGACGCTCAAAACGAAATCCAATAACAGCAGCGTTGCAGTTCGATTGACAACTGGTGCGGCGGAGCAACCAGTGGAACGAAAAACACATAAAATCGTAAAAGCGGGCTCCATAAGCAAGACGTCGACACCAGCACCAGCTGATCTACTTAGCTCCATCATGGCTAGCATGGATAATAGTAATGTGGCAACCACATCGACTTCAACGACAAACAGCTATTCATCATCATTACACTAAAGCGATGTGCTGAGGCAGTCGATAAAAGTCGGAACGCGTTTGCGATGATGGAAACAAATTGGTTTTTGCCGGCCGAAAAGCTATAGTACTGGCTAATCAACAGCTGAGGAAATCAAAACTTTGATATAAGCGAAGGAATTATTCGTTAAGAAAAAATTAGAGCGAAGAAATACTGTAAGTGTTGGTCAGAACGTTAACGTATGACCTTTGAAGCTTAAGCTGTTCAGTCTTTCGGTGTTAGTGTATGAAAAGAAAATCCACATAAGAAAAAAGAAAAATTATTGTTACAGATTGCAGCATATTTGTAAATACTTTATATATTGTATAACTTTTTATATATTTATATATATTTATATATATATATATATATAAATATATATATCTATGAGTAGCTTAGCCTGAGTTGTAAGAGACTAGTTTTCCTTAATTTATTTACGATGATTATGTACGTCAACATGTTTTTCTGCTTAACCAATCTTAACTTAAACATATACATATACCTATAAATATTTATATATATATGAGCATACAACCACTGTTGAAAAATTTGGTATTTCCATGGAAATTTGCGTCGAAATCTTTTTTAGTAGGATTAGTCGTCATAAAATCTTAAATTGCAATAAAGTAAAGACTACCATAAAAAATTAATTAACTAAAAAACACGCGCTTCGCGTTACATTGAACAACTCGCAGTTAGTGGGTAAGGAGATCTGCAAGTCTAGCAGGATTGGCTAACGTTTTCAAAAACGATTTGCTTGAGATCAGAGGCCGAAAATATCCCTCAACACTTTGAAATTGTCCCAAAATAACCTTCCCTATTTAAGAGAAAAAATAACCCACAAAACAGAACAAGTGGTTTATTTTTTGTAATGTGTGCTCCTCTCAGTGGGAAAGGGTTATTTGCATATCTTTTTCCGTTGCTGTTGGACACGGACACTTATCGCTGGAAGAGGAAAAATAAGTTGTTGTTGTTGTTGTTTTAGCGGCTACAACAACCCCGCCCAGATCGGCTGATATCTCAGTCGTTGTCGTCGAGTTCCGCTAACGGCAGCCCCAAGAAGCGTGCAGCCTCTATGGGGTCAGTCCATAGGGACGACGCCGTTAGGGTTGTGGGGTTTTCCGGGCATGCGAATAGATGTTTCGAGTCGTGTGGGGTCTTTCCGCATGCCGGACATTCGTTCGGCACATCCGCATTTAACCTAGACAGGTAGGAATTTAGCCTGCTGCAGTAGCCAGAGCGAAGTTGGGCTATTGTCGTTCTGGTCTCCCGAGGCAGATGGAGTTCCGTCATGTCAATGTCCGGTGTTTGTGTGCCTAGAACGGTTTCACAGGTCTTGAGTCTACATAACTCGAGACTGCGTCCCTGTGAATGCCGTTCAGGGCCTGTCTATGAGCTGACGGGTCCAGAGGTTGCTTAATGAACCTCTGGACTTCGTCCGTCAGTTCATATAGATGCCTCCTGACGTGCCTCGGCGAGGGCTCCCCTGCAAGCAGCTGTCTATTTGGGTGGCCACATCTGTGGCTCCCAACAAGAAACTGCTTGCAGAGCATCGTGTTGTGCTCAATTAGGAGAGCATTTTTGCCTCATCGTGGAGGTGGTGTTCTGGTGTCATCAGGAGGCATCCTGTCGCTGTCCTGAGTGCTGTATTTTGTACCGTCTGTAGCTTCGTCCACTGCGTCCTACTAGTCCCCGGCGACCACACTGATGCTGCGTAGTTTACAACCGGCCGGCCTATAGCCTTGTATGTTGCCAGCAACGTTTCTTTGTCTTTGCCCCAAGTACTGCCGGCAAGCGACTTGAGGACCTTGTTGCGGCTCTGTACTTTATTGACAATAGCGGTTGTGTGCGCCGAGAAGGAGAGCAGGCTGTCGAATGTTACTCCCGAGTATTTTAGGATTATTCACCGTCGGAATTGGTGTGTCATCGACGTGAATTCCTAGCGGTAGCCTGACCTCCTTCGTCCAAGTTGTGAACAGGGTCGCAGAGGATTTCGTAGGGGAGAGGGCTAGACACTTTGCAGTGAAGAAGCGAGAAAGGTCAGAGAGATATCCGTTTACTTTCGAACACAAGTCATCAATTCCATTCCCAGTCGCCATGATCGAGCAATTGTCGGCGTAAGAGACAATCGAGACTCCCTCTGGTGGTTGAGGGAGCTTTGAAATGTAAAAGTTAAACAGTAGCGGGGAAAGGACACCACCCTGAGGAACCCCCTGTTTTATTTTTCGCTGTTTACTCGTTTTGTCTCTAAACATTACCGACGAATGTCGACCACTCAGATAATTTGCCGACCACCGTTTGAGCCTCTGTGGGAGAGAGGAGGCCTCTATATCTTCTAGTAGCGTGGAATGGCAGACGGTGTCAAACGCCTTTGACAAGTCCAACGCTACTAGAATCGTTCTCTCACAAGGACGGTTTCGGTTAAGGCCACGAGTTATCTGAGTGTTTATGGCGTTAAGTGCTGTTATTGTACTGTGCACTTTACGGAAACCATGCTGATGCTTCGCTGGGGTCAAGTGGTCTGTGAAGTACGGGAGTAGCAAGGCCTCGAGTGTCTTCGCTACCGGGGAAAGAGTGTTATCGGACGATAACGCAGGTTTCCCCGGTTTGAGCAGTGGGACCACTCTCCCCACCTTCCAGATGTCTGGGATGATGAGAGTGGCCATTGACAAGTTGAGGACCTCCGTTAGGTACGCTACCCTCGCAGGACCCAAATTTTTCAGCATCAGCATGCATATTCCGTCGGGACCCATGGCTTTGGAGGCTTTCGCCTTCCCGATGGCCACCTGAACTTCACCGCAAGTGAAAGCAAGGGGGGCACAAGTTGTTGGCAGTTTGTCCAGCCTTCTGGTCACTCGACGCTTGGCTTTGTCCACCGGAGGATGCAGTATGAACTGCCGGCTAAAATAGCTCGCGCATCGCTCCGGGTCCGACGAAGCATGGTCGCCGAAAGAAATTTCGACTCTGTCGTCGTGCTTCGTCGGATTGGACAGTGACCTCACGGTTGACCAAAGCTTACTCACACCAGAGGCGAAGTTACAGGTCTTCAGATGTTCCTCCCACTTCTTCCGCTTATGTACGTTTACTAGTTGCCGAATCTCCGCGTTGAGATCCCTAATACGGGGATCTTCGTGATCGGCCTGACGAAGGCTGTCGCGCTCATCGGCTAGAACAGCCGCTTCGGCAGGGAAGTTTGGACGTGGGTCCGTTATACATCCTGCCGGTATGAAGCGAGCTGCAGCAGCAGTGACAGCCCTGCGGAACTTACGTTCACCGAGATGGACGTCGGTTGGTGTGGGAAGCGCAGTGAAGGTGTTTTCAGTAAACTCCGCGTAACCTTTCCAATCAGCTTTAGAGAAGTTGATATAGGTCCGGTGTTTAGCGGAGGCAAAGTCGGTTGGTTTATCTATCGAGATGACTATGGGTAGATGGTCTGATGCTAAAGTCAGCATAGGTCGCATGTTATGCTGTTTATCAGACCAGCGCTGACTATGGTGATGTCTGGCGAGCTGCTGCAGTTACCCATAATTCTGGTGGGTGCGTCGTCGTTCATTGTGCAGAATGTCGAATCGTCTATCTGCTCAGCCAATTCTGTTCCCCTACGATCGTTTGACAGGCTTGAATGCCAAAGATCGTGATGCGCATTAAAATCACCTATATCAGGGTGATATCCTGCCGGGCAGCAGGTGACAGGGGGTATGTATATGTTAAATATTTCGAGCTCGACATCGCCTGACCGGATAGCAATGCCCTGACATTCTAGGGTGGTATCCCTGCGGTCGATGTCTGCTTCGATAAGACGATACTGTGTGGTGCGTGATAAACGCTAAGCCACCACCATTATCTCGCTCGCGATCTCGACGGTGCACGTTGTACCCGGCACAATACAAAAATGTTGAATTGCTGTGCAACTTCGTCTCTTGGACCGCAGCTATCAATATACCATGCCGACACATAAAGACGGTTATCTCCTCAATCTTGCTCTGTAGCCCGTTACAGTTAAATTGAAGGAGCTTCATGTGGTTCGGGAGACGTGTTGTGATGTGGGGTGTAAGGGATGTGTGTGTTCTTACTGCCGTTGGCTGTGTGCGCTGCTGTGATGGTTGCCGCCCTGTGGTGGTGGCGGGAGGCGTCGCAGTTGGGGTCTGCGACCGAGCAGCGCAACACGGGCCTTCGAAGTTCCTCGTCCAGTCTCGCATGGTACGCAGACCTGAGCATGCCCTAAAGTGGCACCAGCCAAGGCAGGTGTTGCACTTGACTGATGTGACATTACGGAATATCCTGGTCTGACATACCGTGCAGATTGTAGGAGGAACCAGGAGTTGTTGGCGGCGGCGTCTGGGTGGTGGTGCGGCTGTGTGTGTTCTTTGGTCTGTCGTGGCTGTGGTATGGTCTGTGGTGTTATTATGTTGTTATGCTGTGGTGACTGTGTGAGGCTGCTCTGGTGGACTGAGGTTTGCCGTGGAGGCTGCTCTGTTTGAGCAGCAGGGGGCCACATACTACGTGGTCCACTGCCGATGTGTCCGTAGTCCTGAGCAGACTCTGAGGTGACACCACCCCTCGCAAGCATTGCACTTGACAGAGGTGGAGTTATGGTATAGTCGTCTCTGGCATACACAGCAGGTGTAGGTTTCTGGCCCTGGGTTTGACTCGATGCCAGCCCTGAGTAGGAGAAAACGTAGCGAATGTAGCCCTATGGACGAACAACTTCTGAGATACTTCGCCGACCTAAACGGGGTAAACATTCACACGACAGCCGGTTCTACGTACCGGAATGACTCGGGTTTTACCCGACCAAGGGCTGTTGTTTCGGCGATCTAACCCCGTTTAGGTCGTAGGAAAAGTAAGTGTTAGAGCGCGGTTACCCACGAACGTGTACGCAGGGTACCGTAGAAGTGCGTAGAAACATATCAAATTTGCTGTTGATAGAGAGAGAGAGAGATATAACAACGTCATGGTCATGCGGTGGCAGGGTTGCGTGCTTTTAAATCCTTATTGATTTAAAATCCGCTATCAATTAAGAAATATATTTGATTTGTGATTTGGTTTGTTGACCAAATAAAAAATAAAATTTATTTGTGATTCGATTTGTCAACAAAATAAGATATACAAATTTTTTATTTGATTTGTAAATAATACTTTTGTGATGCAACGCAAATAAGATATTCAATTATCTTCCAACTTCCAGTTCAACGAAAATCTTCGTGATTTTTGGGACTGATTCGGGTTTTCGAGACTTCTTGAGGATTTTCGGAATCCTCGGGAGTACTTCGAGGTTTTCGGACTGTTTCGGTATTTTTTGAGTATTTCGGGATTTTCGAGACTACTTTGGGATCCGCGGAACCAATTTGGAATTTTCGAGACTTCGTCGGGATTTTCGGAATCTTCGGGACTACTTCGGGATTTTCGAGACTACTTTGGGATCCTCGGGACCAATCCGGGATTTTCGAGACTTCTTCGGGATTA